CCTGGCGAGATCATTCATTTGTATTATGTAGAGCACGGTGCAATAAATTACATCAAGTAGTACAAATTTGTACTCTTCAGGTATGATGTGTTAAGGGAGATGAAGTGATAATTAGAGTATTGGGCTGTGACCTTAGCTGTCTCTTTCAATTACTAACCTTGTTAGATCATGGTATGATCCCAAATGTTGAATTGCCTTCTTAGTATTTATATTAGGTAATAAGGGAAAAGGTGGGAGAAAAGGAAAGAGAATAATAAGGAAATAAAACAGATAGTGGAAAGAAAAAATTAGTGAATTAAAAGCAAGGAAAGTTAAAAAGTAGCAAAGAAAAAAATTGAAAGAAAATGATTATGTATTTAATATAGACACATTTTAATTGAATGTAAAAACCTCAAAATAAAACATTACTTTGGATCTATGAGATATGATGCATTAAGACCTGATTGAAACATGCCCACTAGATCCTTAAAAGGGGGTTTGCTATGAGAACCAGAAGTTGAGGGATGCCTTGAGACTAGAGGAATATTAGCTGAAGCATTCTAACACATGTCAGGGTCGGATCCAGGATTTAAAAGAGAGGGGTTCAAAATGATTCCAAAAAAACCCCAAAATGAAAGGGGGGTCTGGGAAAATTTTAATTCCTAGATGGCCCGAAATGAGCTTTCTCGACATCTGAGGAGTCTTAATGACCTTTAACTTCTTCAAAATTCAAGGGTTTACCCCTCTTGAAAAAAGGTCAGGTAATTTTATCTCATTCTTTAGGCCTATCATAGAGGAAAAAATCAAGGATAGGCAATATATTATATTCCAACAACAGTTAGTAGTTAGATATGTAGTCTTTCTTCCATGGATCGATGAACCGATAGGCCTGAAGAACGCACTTTCTTACATAAATTATTACGACGGCGAACCAAAAACAGTGTGTATAATTTATTTAATTGAAAACTAGTTGAGCTAAGCCTAGTTTGTCTGGCCTCGGTAGGTTAGCATGCCTTTTGTAAGCCAGGACCCAGTTGTATTTTGTTAGGTTTCTTCACAGAGTGGGGTTCGTCCCAACCCCTTAAATCCCCCTTGATCCATCACTGCATGTAAATGATGAATTTCATCATTACTATGAAGATTTGGATGCAATGGGATGTGGTATGGTTTGCATTTCAGAGGAGGGTCTCTCAAAACAGGGGTTCATCTAAACTAAAGAAGTTCTCTGTTTACACCTTGTAGTAATCTATTTTCTTTCTACAGTAGTACAGTACGGTAGTATAATAAAGAACCCATCTCTGGCTTTATACTCCAATTACACACCTGAAATCACTTATGCTGATAGGAATCTATTGATTTTAGGTTGATCTTTGCCTATTTAAAGATAAAATTCCGCAATTATTAAGCAGATAAAGTTCAAGTGGGTCAATATTTTATATTAATCACTGAAGGGCACCAATGGATAGATATAAAATCATAGTCTTTAAGGTTATGTACTGGTTTTCACTACAATGGTAAGTTGGTGGCACCAGGATAGAAATACAAAAAAGGCACACATTTTGGGACAACACCATTTAAGTTTAAAAAAAATCCTTTTTTTATGAAACTTTATGTTTGAAAATAATATTTTAAAAACCAAATTGAGTAGATTAAGAATAATAACCAATATACACGATATAAATTTACTAAATATTAACAAATTTTACCAAGGATATTTTCCCTAGCAAATATATTTTGGTGGTGTGAATGCATCTTTGTACATACCAATGATGTCTCTCTACATTTTGGGAAAAAAAAAACCTCAAAAGAACTAAAAATGTTGAGATATTTAACAGGGATCTTAACATTAGCTGAGCATAGCTAACTGTATCCATCACTTTGGCATCGTGCGTATCTTCACTGTCTGCATACCAACTTTTAGCAAGGTTTGCATTTAGTTGTTTCAAAGCAACAAATCTCGGTAGGGAAATGTTAAAACAGATATCCACATTGTTAACATTTAGTACATTTTCTGTCATGTGAATCGGGTATACGAAATTTCTTTTCCCAGTAAAAATATGCTGGAAGCTTATGCGATTATAGTATGGTGAATACATTCAAGATAGAAGATTAATGTTTTGTGGATGACGATACATTTATGAATTAAATAGATTAAGGTTTCGTGATGTGAATTCATAGGTACGTTAAAACGGATACTGGATCTCGTGGGTGATTACCAAGTTTTCTGACCATATAGTGATGTGAATACCAATAGAAAGGGAGATCAGATTACTGTTAGTAGCAGGCCTATAAATAGAATTGTTGTGATGTTTATATATACTGTATATATAGCCTTAAAACCTGTTTGTACAGAACATTAGTCTTCAGCTAAATTTACGTGGTCACATGAAGTAGGATGATATAAAAATTACACACTACATTAATTTATGACATCAGCACAAAAATGAAACAAATTGCAAAATAATTGATGACATCAGCACATTAGATGAAGCATTTATTAAAAGTACATACAAAGTCATGATGTTATCATCATGACCATAATCACCTATTTATCGTTACCATCATCAACATTTCATCATTATCACCATAATTATAATATTCATTGTTAGGTATAGTAATTATTCTCTTAATTACAAAGCATGTGACTAAATTGCCCATGGTCTAATTCCTGAACTCAACAAAATTTCACTGACGTCAAACACTCTTGTAGCTGATTATAAGCTGTGTCCTTGACTCTTTCGCACAGTATTTACTGCTACACTCTACCTAAATATGAAAAACAATACTGTTCATTAGGGCCTAGTAAAATATTTTCATTTATAGACTTTTAGTGTCTTCCAATTACATAAATTTGGACCATGGAGCAGTGGGAGAAATATTAGTTACAGGACCTGGGAGAGCTTAATTGTAGAGTGCTTAGTATAACTAGAAGGAGGGACTGTCTCTAGTCCCTTCCGACTAGAGGACTGGATTGTTTATCTATATGCCTAGGTGTTAAATGCCTCTACCTTTTAGTTTCTTTGAGGACATTGGTTTAGAAGAATTATCATTATTTTTCCTTTTACCCCCAACATATTCCTTTACTTCATGTCAATATACCCATAGTTTGTCATTTAAAAAAAATAAAAATTAAAAGTAATAATAATAATGTAGCCATAAGATGCTACTCAGAAAAATCACTAACATCAAAAATTTATGTTCTTTTTTGCAATTACAAACCACCAAATTATCTGTATAATAGTACCACATCATTAGTCTCTAGTGAAGCATAGCAATGCATTACTGATGCATTAGTTTAGTGCTTATTACAGAACAATTAAATTTTTATGTAACAGGAATTTTATGATCGCACAAAGAGAGTATCCCTTTAATCAGTGGTCATTCCAAATCTATCTGTTTCTCTACTCCATGATTAAACATCCTCTTGAAATAATAATGAACAGAAAAACATAGATTGCAACTAAGGTTAAAAATCCAAGTATATTATTATTTTTCCAGTGTGTCATAAATTTTATGTTATAACTTTGTGGGTCAAACTTAGGATCACCTGCTTGATACGCAGTCTCTGTTAGAAACTAGGCCACCGAGGCTTCGAGGCTTCGTGACGAATTTGATCCATTTACCGAAAACTAAACAAAACTCTAGAGAGATGATGATATGTTGCCAGGTATAATTTTATGAAACACAATATGACAGGCAACATTGTATCTACAGCCATTATTTTCAACAGCTCGTTGGTTTTTAACGACTATCCGGACTATCCGTTCAGACTGCCATCAACAATAAGCAGACAGCATCGTATTGTGTAGCGCTCACAAGGACTGGAGTCAGGGGCAGATCCAGTGGGGGGGGCACAAAATTTGTAAAATTTCAATGGATATTAATGTTATGTGCTGCTCACTTATATATTTTGAAACTGTTATGTGCCCCTCCCCTGGTTTGAAAAATTCTGGTTCCGCCCCTGGGAGTTGGATTTGTCGTACAACACAATGAGTGTGCAGCTTTTCTGTATTCAGAATTTTGTCTACAAATCTACTTTCTGTTTAAATTTTTTTTTTTTTAGTTTTCATCATTTCTTCTGATGGTGTTTATTAAGGTTAATATCTTTCATTATGTGTATATTTAACAGCATAAAAATGTTTTTTTTAATATAAATCTCACTATAGTA